GACATAGGCGAAAATAGTAAGTTTGATACATTTAGTCAAATTAATTTAGTTTATACCTTTAATGTCTTAATAATGTTAGTATCTTCAATCAGCATTCATAATAATAAAGGGGTCGCAATTAGTATCCAACATTGTGGCTCCATTTTTAGGTTTTAATCAGGACATAACAAAAATTTTATTTGATGTGGAAGTGAGTTATTTGTTAACTTTTTTAATAGATTAATATATTATTGCAATTATGAATAACTGTTTAAATGATCTTTTGTTAATACAGATAACAAATGGAAGAATTGTTATGTCTCCACAAGTATCTCAAACATTAGGGACTTTTCTTACTGAATACAGTAAAGACTTTTTCCAGGTTAATAGTTTTAGCGTGGATGGGAATTTTCAATATTACAGCTTTATTCATCCAAATCATGTAGAATCGTTGTCTATGACTATAAAGGTTTGTAGTAATTTTATTTATAGACTTAATGTTTTTTCATAATCACTCATTATCTGTCTTATTTTTAGGGAAAGGAGGCTAATTTAAAATTATTTGGTTTTGTCATTCGTTATTTCATAATCTTGCAAATGAATTATGCAGGAAACTACATAAATTTTTGCGAATTGAAGGAATATGTTACTTTACATGATCCAAAAAATGCGACTGGTACAATAAAACGTCCAGCACAATGCATAAAGGTATTTCATTATTTTTTTCCATAAACGTAAAATATTTTATATTTACATTATCTGTTGCAATGAATCATAATTACTTATTTTATTACGTTAAGCCTCCTGCGGATCCTTATGAAATTTATTTAACGTTTATCATTGAAGATGGTACTTTGGTGCTTCCTGAAAATTTGTATAATGCTGATGAGCAGTCTTCAAGAATTCATTTTCATGAATTGCAGTTGGAATTAAGAAATTTAGATGTATATATGGGTTTGTATAAATTTTTATTTATAAAAATTATTTGTATTATGAATGAATTAATATAAATTTATATTGTATTAGATATGGATTTAACTATAAGTCCATTAACTTGGACACTCGGTTCTGAGCCTAATATGAAAAATACATCCAAGTCACGGTTGTCAAAAGAATCTACTAATTACTTATTTATTGATGGTTAAGCAAATAACTTTTTTTAAAAACTTCATTGTTATTTTGTAATTTATGATGTAATTAAACATATGGTAACTCTTGTTTTTTTTTAAATAATTCAAATTTAGACTTTAATGTATACGCACATCGTTTGTTCGGCCCTTTACCCAAAACTGCAACCTACGTTTGTAACTGGGAAATAAACATTGGAACAATATCTGGACAATTAAAACCATCATTTTTACTGAGTATTAATTCTTTTGGAAAGGCGTTTTCATACCATCATGTGGATGATGAAAACGCCTTGCCTCCGGATTTTATGAATCCTCTTGATGCAGATGTGACATTTTTAAATTTAAATATTAAAGAGATTGATATATCTGTTTGGGGTGGAGATAGTGTTTCCCAGATTCTTCTTAAAGAAGGATTATGTGTCAAATTTGATGACCTTGCCAATGAAAAGTTTACTCAAAGAGTATTAATTGACCTACCTGATTTAGTAGTTAGAAGTTTAGCGATGTCTGCCTCTGATTTAAACAGTATATATCACGTTAAGGATGCTGAAAGTCATCCTTTCGTGGAGGTCGCAAGTTTTGAATGTGCGTTTAGTATATCTCTATATCGTACAATGTTAGATTGGCGACGGAGATTAGCAAGTCAACAGGCACATATAAAAGAACAGGATAAGGAAACTTTGAGAGTTCCATTTCTTTATGGATACGAAAATGACGACCAAAGTTAGTAAATTAGTACTTATGTATTTATATGATACCGATCTAATGTGCAAAATTTTTTCTTCTGATTTTATAACAAACTAAGGTTCATTAGAATCTAATAGCTACCATTTTGGATCCCTTTATGTTCCACCAATGCCAATGCCGTTGCATGGTAAGAACTAGATGAGCGTGATTTTTATGCACAATTTTTTTCCTTTTTAATATTGGATTTTTAATTAGCATTTTTTATTAACACCTTCTAACACCTTTTGCTTAGATGATGCAGATACTTATTCTGTATTAAAACATGAAAGTGCCAATTCTTCAATGGTTGACCTTTCTGCAGTTCAAAATCGAAAAAATATTAAGAATATGTTAATATTTGACCACCATGGTGATGACGACGAATACGATATGTGGTTACGAACGGATGATGACAGGTTTGTTTATAAAGATTATTTTTTTTTCAGCTTAAGAGAGTCTTCTATAATATTCATTTCATATTATTTCAGCGTATCTATAATTACTGGGTCAGGAGTTAGTGTATCAAACACATCGTTTGTTACTGCGTCAGATGGCGACGAAAATGAAAGTCTTAATGATAGCGATAGCGATAACACAACCATTGGTCATAATACACCAGTCATTATTGATGGAGGTAAAAATATATCCATTAAATAATTTCTCCGATTTATATTAACTTTCTTACAAGGTATTACTGTTATAAATAATTTCATAGATTCAGATAGTGACTATTATGTGAACAAAACAGAACTGTCTCCCGACGAAAACCGGTATTCGATGTCCCCACCTGTTGCCAAATCTATTCCATATGGAAGTTATTTAAGACGATATAAACAGTCTCCATTTAAGTCTTCCGCTACTCCATTTAATAGTTCATTTCTTCAACCACCTCGTGTGTCATTCACACCTGCAAGAGTAAATTATTACAACATACAATCAAGTAGTATTTAATATTTAGTGATTTTAAGTACTTATTATTATTATTATTATATGTAATTGTAGGATGAGGGGTTACTATCTCCTGATGAAAAAACTCCAAGTCACAAATCATCGCCCTTTTCAAAATTAATGAACGAAAGCACTATTACATCATCTGATGATATAGTTCCAGATCAGTTACAAACTACTCAAGATGAAGCTGAAGAAAAAACGACAATTATCTTTGAGGCCACTAAAACTGTAAAAGTGTTATTAACTCCAATTTTCTTGAAAATTGTAGAAGAATTTCTGGAAGCAATTAAAAAAGAGGTTTGCAAAATTTGATAATTTATTTTAATTATACATAATTACCGTTTCTTCTACATTCATTATTAATTATTATTTTGATTAATTTAGGTTTGGAATATGGATGCGATGTTTGATAAAATGCAAATGGATTATGTAGGAGAGCTCACAAAATCATTTCCCTTCAAATTTTCGACCACAAGTCTTGGTTTATCTGTTCATAAAGTTCATTTACACTTTATACAAGATGTAATGCTTCCAGATGATTTAACAAATGTAAATGATGAATATCCTAGTGTTAGAGCAAGATATGATTTAACTAACACTACGTTATGCGCTGCTGCAGACCTTGTTATAGATAAGATTTTAATGAACGGCCTTATAAAATTTCAAAATAAAAATTTTGATAGTAAAGAAAAATTAAAAAGTTTTGAACGACCTTTAAAACTTGTCGAATCTGGTGCTGATTTAGATGTTAATTCATTAAGATTAAATGTACGTTTTGTTACTGGGTCAAATTCCATTGGTATTTTTGGAATTCCAGAGAATATACATCAATTTAAAGAACCTGGATTTCTTTCATCTGAACAGTTAAATAATGGTCCTGTTGTCTTAAATATTTCGTTAGAAAAACTTAAATTAAAATGGAACGGTTGTATGAAATCCAATAATTTTTCGATTGATTTGGAAAATATTTTTAGTTGTTTTATTAATCAATCGCCTGAAATTTTAACTGGAGCTATATACTGGTGGCTTGTATTTGCTGAGGATCTTTCAAGTTTATTGAAAAAATTTGAGTCACATCGAATTCGGCAAGTGCAATTATTAGTTCATGAAGTTGCAAAATACTCTAAAGAAGTAACTAGTGATCCACAATACTTAGCAACACCTTCTCACGTGCTTCGATTAAGCGCGAAAAATTTAAAAAATGATGATGGATGGAAAATACTTGGTCGTCTCAGATATGTTAAGAAGCAAATGAATTTAGATCAACTTGAAAAATTGCAAGGAATTTTGAATTCTTCTGATTATCCATCTGTGAATCAAAATGATATGTATGACCAAGTGGTACATGTTTTCTCACTGTGGAGGCATTGGGAAATGGATAATGTGTCAACTTGTCGACTTTTTACAGATCTTTTTCAGCAACCAACAAAAGATCCAAATTCATTGAATGACTCTGTTGAAATTATTCTCCAATTAGTAAAGGCATCATCTAATCGCTTCAAATTAAGAGTTGGAAATGTTGCAGTATCAGTATGGGAATCACAACGCGAAAATTCTATAGTATTAGGACCCATAGTGCTTGATTGTGAGACCACATACCGCGAAGATAGTTTATCATCTTTCGTAAGCACAGAACCTGGATCATTTAGTACAACTTCAGGGCAATCACAAGTTTTAAATCCAATATTGGCTGGAGATTTGAATATTATTCTTCGATTTGGCGTGGAACAGATTGGTATAGATGTGAATCCGGATATGCTAGCTTTTGCAAAACATTGGCTTAAGGTGCATCGAACCTTCAGATCCAAATTTGAATCATTGTCAAGTAAGGAACAACCATCAACTTCGATTGAAGTTATCGCTTCTTCGTCAAATGTACATAAGCATAAGCAAACTGGATCAGTTGCTAGTATGAACGAAATAAAGCATGTCAAGTTTAACGATGTGAAACCAAAAGATACACAAATTAAAGATTTATTATTATCGCGACTAAATATCTATATTCAAGGGATAATGATCATTAAGAAAATTTCAATAACAGCTTCTGCCCAAAAATTAATCGCACGTACCCAATTAAGTAATATTAGTATTTCAGTTTGGTTACATAATCCAAAAGCTTTGAGTCCTTCTGAAAAGTTAGAACTGGAAAGTGTGTCAGTTAACAAAAGCACCGCACATGCAGGATCAAAAGCAAGTGGCAGTAGAGGTTCAAAAAGTTTGATATTTTCAGTTGTTGGAGGAATCAAAAATATTTCAATCAATATTATAGAAAAGGCATCCACTTCTTTTAGTCAAAACACTTTATTATCTATTGAATTTACACGTGTAGATTCTAGTATAGCTCTCAGTTCCCCAACTCTTAGTCGTCCGAAGAGCAAAATAGATGCAGAATTACTTAAAGTACTAAACATTTTTTTGACGCTTCAATCAATTTCCATCAAATTACCACAAAGTCTTCTCAAACTTTATCACTTTGTTGAAGAATGGCGAGAGGAAAATTTACCTAGTTATGACTTTTTATATAAAAACTTAAAAGATGAACTTGAAGAACAACGAAAAATACTTAGACCTCCAACACCACATAATATTCGTTTTACTGAAAAAAATGAGAAAAAAAATATTTTTGATATTAAATTTCAATTTTTGTTGAAAAAAGTTGTTTTACAAACTCATTTACTTCCATCTTTGCGTTTTCATTATGATGCGTGGGATTTTCTCATGATTTTGGAACAGAAAAATTCCCCATTTGGTGGAAATTTGATAAAATATCTTGGTCAATTGGCAAAACAAGAGATTCACTTTGTGACTCGTCAAAAAAATCAGAATAAATCAAGTCAAGATGAAAAGCCCATTCTGGAGGAACAAGATGATCAATTACAAAAAGGTATATTTACTATACCAGCTATAAGAGCAACTGGAAAAATAAAACCGTTTGAACCTAATAAAACCACTAGCATAATCATCAAAAAGAACACTAGTCCTGTTGGATCCGCTTCTAATATCTCGTTGGGGTCCACATCGAGTATTATTCCAAAACATTTAAAGTTGGAGTCAACAGTTACTTTAGATTTTGTGCAATTGAGTTTAAACGTGAATATAATTGACAATTTATTAACAGCACAATCACTCCTTGGAAATGAGTTTAATGATATTTTAGATGTCTTTGTTTTTTCGTCAAAAAAACTAAAGGCACGTGAGGTTGCCTCCAAAGACAAGGGTTCCTCTTCAGTACAAATGGATCCACATAAACAAGACAAATTATACTATAATCTCAAAATATCCCTTCGAGGCTTAAGAATATCAGCTGAGAGTCCTACCGCAGTTGGATTATTTGAAACAAACATTCTAAATGGACATATTACTAACATACCTATGCCCGAAGATACCAAATCAACCAAGATTGAATGGTTTTTCTCAGCGCAAAAATTCTCGCTTTCGCTTAATCATAATACTAGAATTGGAGGACAGTCAACTACAAATGATGATATTAGGAAACATCGGATAGCATATATTATAATTGATTTAACATTGCAAAATTCTAAGAATAAACAGTTATTGCAAAATCCAACATTAAAAGACTCTATGGATATTACAGAATCATACTTTCTAAAATTAACTAAAGCATATGCTGTAATGCAGCCTGTTGCATTGGGTCGTCTTATGGACGTATATGCGTATTACAGTGGAGAATTAGAACGTAGAAAAGAACTGAAATCATCAGAAATGAATAAACTGGCTGAAAGTACACGAAAATTGTGGAAGTCACTTAATATAGAAATGCCAAAATATAAATCAAAGAGTAAAACTTTATTAGATGAGAAAGTGTTATCGCTTGAAATTATGAAATTTGCGGTAGCACTTCCATTAGATTTAAGTGAGAATGTTATTTCTACAACAATGAACAATTCTTCAGGTGAATCATCACTAGTATCAGCATTTATCTTTTCCGCATCTTCAATGAATTTCATAACAAGAAAGTGGAAATCTAATCATGCAACACTTAAAGATTTATGCTTTCAATTTGTAACAGAATTTGATCAAAGGAAGGAAGAACTCTTTTCTTCCTACTTCCATTCTAAAATGAATCGAGTTTATTTTCCAGAAATTTCATGTGAAGGATATAGTTCTGGTACTATGTACAAGAAAAAATTTGACATTCAGTCCCGAGTTGAAGGGTTTGAAATGGACGTTGGAAGCAATATTGTTAAACATATAAATTGCCTTGGTGAGATTTACGCTGCAAGCCGAGAACGATTAGAAACATTTGCAGCAGAGGCAAATTTGAATTCGGGATCTGAACAAAAGTCAGTAAATGTTGATAGTAATAACAATTTACAAAAGGATACAAATGTGATTGATTTAGAATTTGAGGTCGCATTTACTGCCAAGAGTGGTACAATAAAATTATATCCGAAAAGTTATTTTTACAGAAATCATAGTAGAAAACCTACTGGAAGCAAAGTATCCGATAAGTCAAGATCAATTAGGGAGTCTCGTGGCAGCACCGCTTCACTTCCAAGGTTAAATATAGATTCCATTAATTTTGATGATGTAACAAAACATGAACATGGAATAGATACTATTATTATACCCGGCCTCAGCATAAATACGTTATACAGAACATTCTTGAGTGAAAATATAATTCATTTTAACGAAAATGGTTCTTTAACAAGGCGTTTACATGTTGAGCTTGTAATTCATCCAAGTTCAAATATATTGTTTCCATCCTTGGTGCCATTTTTCAAGGACATTATTGACGGTCTCAAAATAGGAGTTCAGCAATCTAGTGACAAAAGAGCTATTGCAGTTAAAGAAAGTGCATCACCGATTCAGGGCATAAATATAACATTTCATTTCCGACTTTTACATACCAATTTTGAGTTAAGTTGTAAACCTATTTCCAAAGTCTTTTGCTGCTTTAATTGGGAAGAAGGAAACTTTCTTATATCCTCAAACAGTGCAGAAGAAAGTAGCCAGAGTGTTACATGTGTTGGTAAAATAAGTGGTGCTTCAGGAAATATTCGACATGCTTTCTCACCTGAAGACTGTGTAAAAGCTGAAATAAAAGATATCTCCTTTAATGCAACAATGATGAGCAGGCGAAGTGAGAGCGTTTCTGATGATTCTATATCAATTATAGCGGAACTTCCTCAAATTACCGCAGATTTAAACATTCGTTATTTGCAGGATCTGCTAGTTCTCAAGATCATATGGTTGGATCAAGCTGCAAAATTATACGAAGGAATTCCCCAACATTCACAGCATTTATCTCAACGTGTTAGTGGTGATGTAATAAATATTAAAAGGCAGCATTCACCTTCACCATCTCAAGAAGAAGAACCAAAAGTCAAACCATATTCATTTTATGCTTTTGTAAAATTGGATAGACTGGATTTATCCAGTGATCTAGGTCAAGCAATCGGAAAGGTTCTGTTCAATACTCAAAATATTCAAGTTCGTACAAAGAATATACCGGGAGTTCAAAAAAGACTTATTGCGTCCACGGACGTCCTTTATGTTAAATGTGAAGGACGTCTTATTGGATCAGCAAGCATTGCAGGACTTAGTTTTTCCACTATACTTGGAGTGCCACCACACTCAGAAGAGGATGGTCAAACTTGCGTAACAAATTTGGTATTTAAATCAGAAAGAATTCAATCAACATTTGAATATGAATTTCAAAAAATCATAGTGCTAGATGTTGATCCGATGCAATTCAAGCTTACAGATAGTTGGGAAATAGTGTCGCCGGAAAATGCTTCAGTATTAGTACACGCAGACATATCACTACGACAAATTCAAGCAATTGCTACCATAAAAACAATACCTACAATTCTTCACATGGTGAACAAACTTTTAGCATTAGTTGAAGAAAAACAATCATCTGCTGCTAGTGCAATTTTAGATTCTAAATTTAATAGTTCAAATAGTTCAAATACCGATACTTTACCACATGATTCAGGTTCTGATAAATTATCACGAAAAAAAACTGATATAATAATGACTTTCAAAGAGGTATTAGTTAGAGGGGTAACAGTTCACCCTATTGGGAAGATTACGATTACAATGGATAAAGCATATTTTACAATATATCCAAATAACTTTTATGATTTGGATTGTATGCAGACGAAATTTGATGGCCTTTTTTTGGATATGAATAAGTCCATTAAAGATGAACAAGTTCATCGAGAACTTAATGTGCGTCTCAATAGCATTGCATTATTAAAAAGTTTGTGCAAAAAGCTCAAACTCAAGGATGATAATGAACTTACGCTTCAGAAATGGTTTGAACATGTTGAGGCAGCATCTTCGAAGAATATATTTACTCTTCCTAATACAAATTTAATTATGGACACTACACAAAAGGTGGGAAGTAACACTGTTGATCATAAATTTGAAGTACATTTTGGAGGAAAAGTAGATATTGCGTTAAATTTTGGATTAATCAGATATCTTCAAGAATTGTCAGCTTTATATAAAGAATTAATGAGAAAGAATAGCACAGATGTTCCAAAATCACCTAACACACCTGGTACGTCTACGTCATCTAACACAGGAAATCAGCCACAATCTCCAGCAATAACACAATCAGCACCGACTACAGAATTACCAGTGTCGGATAACGAAGATTTAAAAGAAGCTAAGAAGGTGGATATAATAATATATAATCCAATAGAAGCAGTAAAATTAGAGCCACAATTGCGTTATCT